CCACTCCTCAGCCTCCCCGGGAAAGTCTATGCCAGGGTACTGGAGAGGAGAATTCAACCGATAGTCGAACCTCGAATTCAGAAGGAACAATGCGGTTTTTTACAAAGTAATGTCAATTAAATAAAAATATGTAATGGGAAATAAGTGATTGCATAAATATTCACCCCCTTCAAGTCAGTATTTAGTAGATGCACCTTTGGCTGCAACCACAGCATTGAGTCTTGTGGATAGTTCTCAATCAGGTTTTCACATCTGGACACTAATTTTACTCCATTCTTCTTTGCAAAACTGCTCAAATCTCCTCCAAATTGCACAGTTTATGGACTAACCTCACTAATTGCTATATCTATAATAATGTGGACGGCAATGTAAGAATTTCATTGTACAGGGAAACACATTTCCTAACTGTGTGTATGACAAAATAAACACTTTGAACTTTATTTATATGTTGCTGAAACACTGTTAGTTTAGTTTTGACTCAAAACCATAAACACATACACACACACACACACTTTGTTTTATGCTTGCCTTTACAGGAACATCTGTGAGAAATCACCCGCAGAGCCCATTGAAGGAACATGTTACCATTTGCTGAAAACAGTAGGCAACATTTAGCAATCCTCGTGATGTGCAAATGTAAAGCAGGGTATGGAACAGAATGTTTGGACCATTCATAGTTTTTTTTTTTTTTTTTTTTTGTGCTAAAAATACAGTCACCTGGTCACACAGCCACTGTTCTCATGACTAATTCTACACAGACAAGCTACAGATCATTGACACTTGTATTGGCAAGGACAACTATACAGTACAGTCTACCATGTTAACACAGCTGAGGATGGATTTACTGATTTTACTAGGTAACTTATGTACTGGGAAAAACTGCACAGTAACCAGTGTCTCTGCAGCCGCTGTGTGGAATAAACTGTATTTCACTTGTAGTGTTGTCACGATACCAACATTTTGGTACCGGTACCGGTACCAAAATGTATTTCGATACTTTCGATACTTTTTCAGACAAAAAGAGAAGGCAAAAAATGTCATTACTGACTTTATTTTAATAGAAAATCTTAGAATAACATCAAAATAAAATTCAAAATACTAGGCTTTTCTTATTGCACTCAAAAAAAAATTTTTTTAGAACAGTCAGTGTGAGTAAATAAAAAGTATGAAGTTAGAAGTTCTAACTTAGAAAAAAATATTTTCATTACATATAGCCTGTCTTAAGTAGGACCAGTGTTTTTAAATGGTATGTTACCAGTCTTTATAACATATTAAATGGCTAAATATGTATGTAAAACACTGAACGACTGTGCTGTAACCACATTTAACGTTTTGAAAAAACACATTTTTTTATTAAAATTTAGAAAAAAAATTTCTATGTTTGATAAGAACTCTTTATCATGTGTTGCACACTTAAAACTATTGAACTATTGCATTTGAAAAGGGCACATGTCATGAGTAAATTACCTGTCGTTCCCTGAACTCAGTGTGCAGGTCTGGGTGTTTCCGCCCTTAGCCATGCATGTTTTAAAACATCGTTTACACAATGGCGCATCAACGTTAAATGCCTCTCCTTGCTCATTTGTTTTTATGCCGAAGTACTGCCATATAGCACTTCGCGCCCCTCGTTTGTCCACAAGTTGCGGGGTGGTGACTGTTACAGCAGCCATTCTCCTCTCCGTGCTCCTCTCTCTCTCTCTCTCTCTCTCTCTCTCTCTCTCTCCCTCTCCCTCTCCAACGTCTCTGCTCTCTCCAAGCTTTCCTCCTGCTCCGTTTGTTGCTCCAGTCCACGCTGCTCAGTGAGCAGAGGACGAGGAAGCTGTTTCCTGCTCTGTTTTCCTCTGTTGCCGGCGGCGCTGCAAGTACCGGTACCGTCCAAATGCAGTATAGTACCATTTTAAATGCCTCAGTACCGCGGTACCATACTAGTACCGGTATATCGTGCAACACTATTCACTTGATAAGGTTTTATACATCAGATAGCTATTCCTATTTTTGTGCTTGAAAATGTTTGTCAGTGCTTCAGATTGGTTATATAATACACTTTCAAAATAGTTTTATTAATGTGTAATATATTAACACTAATAACGTTTGACTGTCAAACAGAAATATCTTGTTTTGTTTACACACTCACCAGCAGAATTCTGTTTTACATGTGCCTAGCCAGCATGTTGGATGAACCGTGTTTGGTATTTTTAGTCAGATAGATATTGGTTAGATACTTTATGTATTAGAAATGTTTAGTGGAGACAGGATGTCTAGTTAAACTTAAATGCTTAGTCATGCTCATGAGTTTCTACAGGGTGCATCTGGTCAAGGATAACTAGAGAGAAAAGTTGTTGACTGTCAGCAGACAGGATGTTTAAAATTATTATTATTATGATGTGTATAACTGTAGCCTTAGCCATAATATTTTCTTATGTTTAATGTCATGACATGTCACTAGAGGTCGTGTGAGAATGTTTTCAGCTACACACCACTTAATCAACAGACACACACACATTGATTTACTTCATGTTTTGACTACTGCTCTGGCCAGCTGCATAGTTGGCACATCAGGTCACGTCACGGTTTGATGTGCCTGTGTAGTATGGGGCTAGCCCAACCGAAGAGATAAATGTATAGGCCTGGTTTGGTTCAGGGTCTTTCATCTTTCATCTGCCTGCGTGCAGTTTGGAGGTGCAAGATACCTGAGCGTGTAATGTTAATTTTACCTGTGATCCTTTGAATAAATCAGCACTGTTTTGAAGTTACTTGGACTGCCTCGTCTCAGAGTTAGCATGGTAGCAAGAACTGGTTAACCCGTCAGTCTTTTTTTTTTTTTTTTTTAACCTTTTACATCATCTGCTTACCAATGTACAGTAGTCGCATAAAATCTTTGTGAAATTAAATATTTCTCCACTGGACCCTTACTGATAAACTTGTACTAAACTTAAAAGTGACAAAACCTTCCTTAAAAGGTTTTATTTTATTTGAAGAAAATACAGTGGAAGTATAAACTGGATATGTAGGCTATAAAAAAATAAAATAAAATTAAAAAAAAAGAAAAAAAAAGCACCAAATAAATGTGGCAAACTTTTATGTAAACGCGCTTGATCACATCATCCATTGGGGTGAAGAGTTTTCTGTACACTGTAGCTGTGTCAGCTGGTGGAGGAGCTGTCCTCACGCATCTTCCTTGAGACCTTCCTGATAATGCTGGAACCACTGTTGTCTTCACACCATCACTTGACTGGAGCACAACACTCCCCTGGTGATAACTTCCTTCCTCTCCCAGAGTTGATGACACCTAAATGTGATAGGAATGTTGTGGTGTCATTTGGAAAACGGTTTTAAATATATGTAGTACTTCCAATCTCTTTTCATGTACATTATTTTGAGCGCTGATAGTACTTTTCCTAAACTTTCACACTTTTGTGTATTTTAGAGCATACAATATATACACTGCACAAATGTACTGTTAAAAGGAAGAATTACAAACTTTAGTTTGGCAAGCTGTAGCCTCTTAAAAACAAAAAGGGCTTGTGTTAGCTCATTCAGCAAGTACACAGTGTATAGGTACAGAGTTTCTACAACTCAACATTGCAGAAGAATGTAATGGTGATATACAGTTTTTGACTCACATGTAGCCTGTCAACGTCTCTTTGAGCTGAAATGTTTGCTATCAATGCCTAATGTCTTTCTCAATTCACAAACAATATCAAGAGTAAGAATCTACTATTATCACACGAGTCTTGTTGTCACACTTGAGCAGTGCGATCAAATAGAGTAACACTGGTAAGATGTTTACATAAAGCTGTTACAACAATGCTAAATAAACAAGCAAAGTTGCCACCATCCAACCCACTATTCACAGGAAATTGGGCTAAAAACAGTTAAACACCAATTCTCTGGTACATTCTGACTGTTCAACTAAATTACTAACCTGAACACCTTAACCTGTTTACCATTCAGCCTGTAATTCAAGCTACTGTTAGCCACATTAGCTGCACAGCATAACTATGTGGCTAAGTTAAACAGGCTAACGTCATACACAGGCAGTAAAATAATACTCACTGCATCAGGATGTGACAGACTCATGGACAACTGGAACAGATCCATTCTTGCGCTTCAGCCTGGAAGTAAATCCAGTGTTGTACTGAACCTTGTTGATAAAGCACTCCGACGTGAAATTAGTACATAACATGCAACGTCTTAGGGATATCTTCATGAACATTACCACAATAAATGATATGCACTGCGTCTTCGCTGGCTCTGAGGATGGAAGTAGGTAGAGACTTTTGTGCTTGTTTGTGCCACCAACAACTGAGCAGAATCCGTGCTTTCCTCGGAGCTGTGCCATGTTGCCATTTGTCTGCTGTTCTAGCAAGAAAATCATAGTGGCGGACCGGTAGAACCAAAACAGATCTGAGTGGGAGAAGGATCTATGAAATGAACTGCAAAGCCATTTCGTATGATGTCGTAAAGAGAGACAAATCCAAGCAGTGTTCAAGCTGGGGTTTTTACAAATGCGGAAAAAGCAAAAGAGGCAGGGACTGTTCTTTTCTGATGCTTTGTGTTTGTCTGCACACATCGGAGACCCATGTGAACGTCAGAAAATGTTTTAAAAGCCAATGCACAGGACGGCCTCCCCAGGGTATAGTCTGTAGTATAGTTGCCGGTCAATAACTCCCTCCTTTTCCAGCTTCTGTAAACAGTCTATAACCTTCTTCTTGTAGCCACTGGTGGGGTCCCTCTTCAGTGCTTCATAGGTGGTGGTGTTGGATCAAACAGAACAACTATCAGAGAAGTTAAAAAAAATCTTTGGCAACCACAATATCCCAGTTAACTTTAAACCAGGGAATACCCTGCAGCAGAGACTGGTCCACCCGAAGGACAAAACACCCAGACATAAACAGAGTGATGTGGTGTATGCCATTAAGTGTAGTCAGGTGTGTGTTAGGTATTTTTAGTCAGATAGATATTGGACAGATAATTTATGTATTAGAAATGTTAGTGGAGAGAGGATGTCTAGTTAGACTGTTAAATGCTTAGGCCTGCTTATGAGTTTCTGCAGGGTACTTCTGGTCAAGGATACCAGAGAGAAGAGTTGATGACTGTCAGCAGACAGGGTGTTTAATATTATTATTACGACGTGTATAACTATAGCCTGAGCCATAATATGTCCTTATGTTTAGGTCACGACATGTACTAGAGGTCGTGAGAATGTTTTTAGCTACACACCACTTAACCAACAGACATACACATTCACACGTTGATTTGCTTCATGTTTTGACTACTGTTAGAGCCAGCTGCAAAGCTGATGAGAGATACGTCTCGGTTGACGTTTCTGTGTAGTATGGGGCTAGCCCAACCGA